ATTCGTTGCATACCTACTTGAAAAATTTGATTGTATGTACATTTATCAAGTAATAAGATTTTGATTTAAAAAAAAAAACGGAATTTCTGTTTGATGACGTTTAGACAAGTTTGATTATTGATTATATATTTTCTTAAACACCACTTTATATTATATCGGATTTTCTATTATTTTTTATATATTTTTATAAAATATAATTTGTATCAAAAATGTATATCTAAAATTGATGTGCCATACATTGAATCATCAGTGTGAAAAATTCAAAATGTTTTAGAAATTTCAATTAAACGCCTCGAATACTATTAAAATATGAATAAGTGAATTTGTTTTCTATTTTGAACAATAAATGGACCTAAGTTACATCTTTTGTTGAATTTTTAACAATTCGTTTATTTAATATAGGATAATACAATACGTTATATATTTTATATATTATTTTGTCTGTTTCTTAAATCGCGTCTTATCGTATATTTACTGATTCCATTGTTCAGATCTAAAATAGAGTTTTTCACGAAAACCGAAAACAAATAAAGCAAAACAATAAACAACGGTTTTAAAAAGGGTACCGGATTCTATACAATGTTAACATAAAGCAAAAATATATTATTTTCGACCTCAACTCCTTTAAAATGTTTGGTAAGCGTGCGTCGTGCTCGAATGAAGTGGACTGCGCATACAGGCTGATTCATCATATTATAACTATTATACTATTATACTTATACCATCAAAATATTTTATTCCGTACGCAATTGTAATTTTTGTCCATTGTATTGAATTTCCTTCAAATAATAAAAAGAAATATATGCTCACTAAAAATTGGCCCAAATGAATACGGGTCTATAAGAAAAAAGTTAAATACGTGTTTTACACAACCGTCTATCTTCGACAAACGACTGATTTTAAATGGCTGTTTGATTCGACGATATTTCTAAGGTCCCATCTATACTACTATACTATACGGTTTAACGTTTGAATAATTCAAAAAGTTCCCACTTTCAGTATTAAACTTGTTATAGTAGTTCTGTGGGTAAATTTGAAACAAACTAAATCGTTCAAACAAGTATTACCTAAAATAAAAATCAAATATTACAACAATAATTAACATTATATATTATAAATTAACGGGTTTAAAAATTTCGATTTAACGTGGTGAATGTAAATACTTAAACTTAAATAAAAATACGAAATCGAGTTTAAATAATTACAAAAGAATCGTTGTGTTAGTCGAAGATATGAAAATTATAAATGTCTATATTAATTTTTTTATTGCTATACCTACAGATATAATTAAATTCTAAGGACTTCGTGACCTTAATATTACCTAAATAATGTGTTATTATAAATGCAAAAAATAGCGATGTAGTATTTAAATATGATACAGTGGAATTATTAATAGTCAATCATAAGCACGCATTATTATTAAAAATTGTTTATTTTTAAATAAAACCATAAATAATAAGAGTATTTAAGTTATTTGTTGAAAACTGATATTGCTACTGAGAACTGTTATAAGGATTTACTTGTAACGTATTACCCAAGCATACATTTCTTAGTAAAGGATGAAGAAAATGTGCAAACTATGCCACTACAATATATTTGAATATAAAGTGTAAAATATTGATGTTTCTTACTAATTTTTTCATAAAAAAAATGCAAAATTCTAAAGTTTTTACTCATTATATTTTTTATATTAAAAAAAAATGTAATTACTGTTGTTACTTTTATAGATTTTTTTTATTTTTTATCCAAAATAGTATTTTTATTGACTGTGTATTGTACAGTCATCAATGTTGTAATTTTTTACTGCTTCCAAAAATGAGCATTTAAACCCTATTAATAAAGAAAGAATCGCCATCTGTATGAGTTTACTTTCCAATCAATAGAGGTGTTGACATTATACCGTGTTCAACTTTTAGAGCTATTTTAATGTTCCACATAAAAGTGTTTTCGGGGAAATAAAATCAGGGTAGTAAAATCAACATAGTTCCATCGCATAATTTGAAAGTGTATATTATTATAATTTAATAACATTGATATAATAATAATTTTCTGTTATAACCTTGTAGTTGATATTTAAAAATTATATAATAAATTCCAGTTCAATTTTATTGTACCAGTGATGTACAATATTAATAGTATTCGTGTTCTATAATTTATAAACAATTTAATATTGTAAGATCATTTGATTTCGTCATTGTTTAGGAAAACCTGGTATATGTTCGCCTATCTCGATGCAAAAAGCTGGAGTGGCAATATTATTATTTTTAATTTGGAAACGATAACAAAACCGTTTTGCTTGGTGGTTTATTGAATGTTTATTTTTCTTTAAACTTTAAGTGCTCGTAAAAATCATTTATGGGTTTTAAATATGTTCAATTTTATTGAATTTATAGTATTATTATAGCCGTGAATATTGTGATACGAGTCACATTGTATATTGACATAAATAATTTATTATAGTTTCATAAATACCACAGAATAACAAAATTCTTATCAAACCCAACTCAACACATCACAGAAAATGTACCAACTTAAAATTTTTTATTAATCGATGAAATGTACGTTTATAGTAATTATTGATAAAAACAGATGTACGCGTGATTTTAAGTATACATTTATATTGTACATGTCTGTAAGTACCTATACACTGACACAACTATACAAAATTTCAAAATAAAATATACAGTCTACTTTTAGTAGGTAGGTACTTGTATTTCACATTTTATAATTAATGTGTATTTATATTTTTACACAAATATTTCAGAATATTTTTGTCTTATTATTATTTACATACATAAATGCAGGTTATTCAATTTTAGATTCGAAAGACAAAAGTTTTAAATTAAAATTTTTTTTTCACATTATTATTGAATATTAAAAGTTCTTCAAATATATTTTTCCAAAAGTGTACGACGTAAACCATTTATTAATTATTTTAATAATTAATGTTGTTTTTAAAATATAATAATTTATCTATTGTATTATCGTGTTATACAAACGTATTATGAATTTTTTATAATTAACAGCAATTTAATTTAAGGTTTTTTTTATTTATTCGATTGAAAATATCTTTTGGATCTTTGTTAGTTTTAGCACATTGCACTTTTATTTAAATAAAATTTGTGCCGAACAATTAATTTTATGCTCAAAACTGTAAAAATTATTATATCTAAGTCAAGTTTTTGAGATATATTATGTCGCTATAACGCGATTAATGTGTAATTATGCATAAAAAATTGATTTAATACTATTTATTTTAAAATGAAACTCGTTTAGTTCTTCATGTAAATTGTAATTTGTTATATAAAAATATTACAATTGGAACTTTATTGATAATAATATTGTAATACATGATGTATTAAAATGTGCTGTTCAACTATATATAGTTAGTCCAAGAGTAAATTATTTTCAAGTAAACAATTTTTAATTTATTTTATAATACAAAAAAATAACAATAATGCAGTATTTTTGAAGCCTTTGCTATGTTCGTTACTTCATAAATATAATTTATTCATTCTAATGTATAATTGTTTTTGTTGAAATTTATTTTATACTATTTAATATATAAATAAAATATTTTTCACGTAAAATAATAATAATAATTTTCTTTATTATTGATATAAATCTGATTTAAAAAATATGAAGCAACTAAAATACTTAATATTATACACTATATCGTGTATTGTAGGGCTGTTGAAACATTTTGACTCCAACTTCTGAGACTCGACCGTATAAATATAATTAACAGTGTTACAGAGTGTTAGAGGTCTTGAGTCATGTTCAATGTTTAATTTATCACAGCAATAATAAGAAACAAAAAATGTCCCTGAATTAGCCCACGCTATAATAGCCGTAAAATATTATTAAATTGTTCATATTTTCATGAAAAAATTAAACGAGATATTATTACAGATTAGGTTTATTTTAATATATAAATTTTATAGTGAACTTGTACATTTGAAAGACTGTATAAAGCTATTTTTAAAACTTATATAATTATAATAAAATATCATAATATTACTTGTGGATAATATTCCTATAATTTTTTTCATTTTTATGTTTCATAATACCTAATATTTTTTTAAATAATAATTTAATTCGTACATATTTTTGTTATTTTTTATAAAATGTTATTTTGGGGCTCTTTGAAAAAAAAAACCGGGAGAGGGTACATGAATTTTAAATTTTTCAATCCTCTATTCACTTTTTTAGCTTAAACTTACATGACTTTGACAATAATATTTTAATATTAGTAGGTGATAGCGATCGCGTATCGATATACTATGTTAATTGTATGATTGAAAATTGTGATTAAAAAGTGATAACTGACAATTATTAGTACTTTTATGCATAACATTTGCATTTTAAGCGGGTTCACTAATAGTGTATAATTAATGATAATAAGCAGAAACATGTTTAGCTTTTCAAAAATGAGCGGAGAGATATGAATTTTTGACTATTCTCAAACCACATTGTTATAAAATAAAATAAATAAAAAATACATTCTTGCATTTACAATCGCTGTAGTTAATTATAATAATATATTATTAATCCTGTATACAAGAGAAATATTTGTATTTGTGTGTTGTCAATAACTCCTTGACATAAATCATCCCGCGATGACGGTAAATAGGTATGCTTTCATTACTTAACCGCATATATGTTATCGTTATCGATCAACCCATTGACTTATATTGTTAATTATTCAAAAAAGACATTGAAAATAATATATATTATTTAAAACTTGAATAAAATTTTCATTTTAATGACAAACTGAACTTTTTCTGTATTGATGAGAAATCAATAGACAAAACAAATCTGCCGGGGGGAGGGAGTGGGATGTGACATTCTCGTCAACTTTACTCTACGGTCTGCACGCCTCTGAGTCTATGATAATATTATTATAATCATAGTTTATTAGCTACGTCATAGATTACAGTTGAAAACTCATAATTGTAACAATATTTTAATACTTATGTGGTGTGATTTGTCTTTTGCAGCGGTAACACTTTTGAAGGCCAATGGCAGAACGGGAAGAGACACGGGCTAGGCGTCGAGTCCCGCGGGCGTTGGCTGTACAGAGGAGAATGGACACAGGGTTTCAAGGGCAGGTACGGTGTCAGACAGTCGGCCACGACCAACGCCAAGTATGAGGGTACTTGGGCCAATGGGTTGCAAGACGGCTACGGGTCGGAAACGTACGCCGACGGTGGTACGGATTTAATTTTACTAAATATGTTTTGCCGTTTAGTGTAAAAATAAAAATAATATGTTTGATGTCATATACATAATTGCATTAGTAACGATCGGCCGTCGAATTTGACCTAAATCACGTTGAGGTGTGTGTATATATATATATATATATATATATAAGGTTCTAAATTTTAAAAATTTTACTGAAAATTGTTCAGACTGAAATAATATTTCATGGTTGAAAACTTCTCAGTTCATAAAATGTTTCAATGAAATTATGAAAATAAATTAAATATATACTCGTATTTTGTATACCTATATAAAATGTTGATTTAGAAGGTTATTAGTATTGGTTAGTGATTTTACACGAATAAGCGAATCTATCAACGTTCATAATTGAAGTTTAGGAATTACCTTGTTCACGGTCATAAATTTATTGGTTACAATAACCTAACAATCAGGACTCTATCAATTGTCATATTTTTTAAACCAAATGTTTGTTTGTAATATTATTAATTTGCGTAAGTTCATTGCTAATCGCAATATTTGAGTATTTGTAAATTTTCACTTTGTTAGTGACTACCTCTCATATTAATAAATAACATTACTATAATTTTGTAAATATGATATCATAATTTTTTTATAATTATTATCAAATAATATTAAATTATGAATACAAAACGTCAAATTTTTATATTTTTATTTAAAATTGACTATGAGTTTGTGATATGAGATTTATGTTTAAATTATTTTATGTTATAGAAATATAAAGCAAGTTATGTATTTTATTTTACGGTATTTTTTGTTTCATACAATAAACATTGTCATGCAATAAACTTGCTTTTAAAAATGTTCTCTCGCTTGTGTACAATGTACATTGTACATATAATAACAGATATTAAAACATTCTCTTCCTTTTTATTTGAGATTTATTTTTATTTTTCACATAAATGAAATATTCCTGGGAAATAAATTGCATATAATTTTCCAACCTTAGATTTTTAATATTTTTGAATTGTACGTATATTTTTTATTTAATTTTCAACTCGATACGGTCACTAGTGTAATTTAATAGCACTTAATTTTCCAAAAAAATAATAGGCAAAGGAACTCGTCGGGATGTATAATAGAATATATCTACTGATGATGAAAGAGAAGTACCTACTCGTATGTGTTTGTAAAATATACAATTGACTCGAGTACCATCTCGCCATACGTAGACATGCAGATCACCAACACAAATGGCGAATAAAAATTAACTGTATTCGTATTTTTTTTTTTTTACCTTCAAGTAGAAAAATTATTATTATAAACCAATGGTGGGTCGCATGTTAATTTTATTAAAATATTTTCGTTTAGATATTATTTAAAAAAAATAACAATAAAATGAAAACTCTATAAGTGTATATAGCGTTTGTTCCAAAATAATGATTGAATACTGTCGATGTCGTTCGTCTTTTATTTTTTATTGAAATTTAATTTTGTTTATCGTTCGTTACCTTTTGTATGCGCGCAGAATACTTAAACAAATTATTTTCGACACTGCCCAGAAAACATAATAACGTTCACGGTAGTCTTCGCACAACAATATCGTTTGAATACAATACAACTTGCACTTCTTTGGGTGTATTTCTTCACTCCGTTCATTCTCGTATTATTCTACTTGCAAAAATACATTTTACTGGTGCCTATGCACAATATGAACTGTTAAATATTAAATACCACACAAATAACACGTAATATGCGTTTTATATAGTATGATTTTTATTTCGTTTGAATTCTAAATTGTTTGTAATATTAGTGCTTCTTTGATTCGTAAAATAAATTTATGCATTACATTCCGTATGATATATTATATTAACCACTTTATTATAATTTTATTTTTCTATGAAAGTAAATTGGAAATATGTACCTAGGTGTAATGAATATGCGGGTACAAATAAAATATTTTTGAACCTTATGATTCGAAAAGTAAACAATTTATTTTTCAATGTATGAAATTATAAAGTTGTTTCACATTCTTCTTTGTATTTCGTTTTTTCAATTTTAAAGGTAAAACGTAGATACGTACAGTCACGCAAGTGTAAACTATAATAAAAAATGCACGATATAACCTAACCCAATAATAAAAATAAAGTATCGATGACATTATGATAATATTATTTTTAGTCTCAAATTCCATTTAATTTAATGAAAGAGCTACTCAATTACTGTACTGTTAAATTATTACTTTTTTTTTTTAAACATTTTTGTAGCTCTTTGTTAGAAACTTATAGGAGTTAATTTTTTTTAGAAAAATTATTTTAGTGACTTTGTCTTAAACTGTTATAATTTTTACTTCATAAATAAGTGTAAACAATTTGAAATTTATAATTAAAATATGGTACTGTATAATATGTTGAACAACTTTTTTATTTTTAATATTATCTCTAATTTTGTTCACAAGTTAATTTATAAACGATGTTGAATTCATATTTAAAATTAAAGTGAAAAAATAAATTATTAATAAATATTATGGTAGCTTAAAGGTTTTTAAACTCGCTTGTTTTATTTTATAATATTTTTCATTTGAATGATTGTTATATATTTGTTTTTGAAAATGCATATTTTAAAATTATAAACTAATAATTGTAGAAGATCATGTGAGTAGGTATACTAAGTAGAAGCTAAGTACATTTTCTGCGATAATATTACTTGAACATTTAATGTAAATTTTAAATGTTTGTACATATTAAGATTAAAATATATTTTACATGATAATACCAAAACAATGATACTTCTTCTAGAAGATTTTCGTTCAAATAATATAAAATCCAACATAGTTTTCGACGATATTTTTATTCAAAATTTCAATCTTATAAAAAAAAGTTTTGGATGCACACCCAGATTAGATTATACCGTTAATTAACTCTATAATTTCCAAAATAGGTATATATTTAAAGATGAAATAATAATATATTGTTATCATGAAAATAGATAATTTATTATTCAAGATCATTCAAATAAATTATGAAATACAATAAGGCATTTTAAAGTATTAAGTTTCTTCCCATATTTTTAAATGAAGTTCTATGGTATTATTATCAAGAAAAAAATAAATATTATTATTATTAAATTATATGTATTACACATATTTCAAATATTACGATCAAGTATTCGAGTGTTTCTCCGTTTAAAATTTGCTAAATATCATATGACGTTTGCTTACTTTTCGATCAGCTCGTTATATAATACGTAGAATAATCCAATACGTCACATAATTATTAATCTGTATTTATATAAAAAAAAGTATTTGATGTTTATTTTTATATTAAATTTCTACTATGCGTCATAACATAGTTTTAAATAATTTGAATATTTTCACGGGTCAACAATAATATCGTTTGCCGTTTTCTTTTTAAGGAACGTTTCAGGGGCAATGGATGCGTGGAATGCGACACGGATACGGTGTCCGAAGCAGTGCACGGTTCGGGATGGCATCTCATTCTAAGCCAAACAAATCGGACATCCGGAATTCATTGTCGTCGTTAGGCAGTGACGACGCGCACAACAAGGCGGGAAGTGCGTCCGACGATCCGGTGATCGGCAGCGAGGGCCGTGATAAAAAGCTGGACGACACGCGCGGCGGGTTCGTGTTAAAAGCCAACAGTGACGAGCAGCACAACAAACGAAAGACGCTAGTATCTAAGTCCACGCACAGTCTCAAGAGGACTTTTATGTCTGTAAGTACTCGCAGGACGCGTGCACGCACATTGTGACTGCGGCTATATTAAAGTATCATGGAAATGAAAGTAAATTCTTGGTGTAGGTTGAATTCAAGAGTGATTGTTTTACCGCCAAATACTCGATATCTTGCCTAATGTAGCAATAATATCCCAATTCACGACTAACAAAATTCTCTCTCACGACCTAATCCAAAAAGTAGAGCGATCATCCGGTGTGACCTGTAGTGTAAATATTTTAGCAAACAATTTAAACAATTTTATATAATATATTTTTTTCAAGTTGAAACTTATTCTTAAGTACTAAAGTTAAAGTTTTTCGGTAGTATTATTTTGGTTCCTATAAAAAAAAAAAAAAAATGGATTTCAATGCTATGGTTTTTTTTTTTTAAATTTGGTTTAAGCGTCTGCTCTTGTTTAGGTTTCGTTTCAGCCCTTTTGTTAAACACAATTCACATGCTGACATATTTTTTAGCTTACCTATTAAGCTTCAAGTAGTTATTTGAACTCGAAATATGCGAAACAAAATGCTTGGCAAGCATCCCATGTCGATAAAGTGAAACACGAAGTCGTTATAATATTCTCAGAATACCGATGAAAACCTGTATGATGATTTTCGACATTCCAAGCGAAGAATCCGCCTTTAAAGTTCTACCGCCCACGGTCGTAAACGTGCCTCTGTGTAGATCTATCGTCACCCACGTATATGCTTGTATGATAATCGTTCCTCTATACCATTACTTATATAGATTGTCCATTGCCAAAATCGCTGTGTAGGCACACTTTATAATACATCGTTCTATTCAATAGGTAGTGTTTTTATCTTTTACCGTTTTTAAATTTGAATCGATAAATGAAACGGTGCAAATAACTAACCACGGTTGTATACTTATGAGCAGTATTTGCGTTTTTATTTCATGTTAGTTTTCACTTTTCAATGTGTTGTTTTTACACAATTTGATTTTCGTCAATGTCATATTATTTGGATAAATAACTAGAGAATAGATTGACTAACAATACACGTACAGTTAGTCATATTATTATGGAGGAAGTTGGCATGTTATATAATATACAGAATAATCCATCGAGCAGATTCATCCTCTTTTTCTTCTTCGATGAATAAATTATTCACACAAACATGATTTTTATTTATTTAAAGGCTACATTTTAAAATTATTCAGATTTTTTGTACTATTTAGGTCTGTGGAAAAACAAAATTCTGTTTTTTAAATTAGAACGGGGATCCTCTATTGTAAATTATTTAGCAAATAATTTTTCTGAAACTGTTGACGCGTCAAAATTAAAATTCAAACGAGTAGGTAGTTTTTGAGTTATTTAACTTTGTATACTAAAGATAATAGGTCAATTATAAAAGGTTTGGAAAATATGGGAATATGCCAATTTGTTAGTCTTAGTAATTTATATTAATCTAAAAATATAATATAATTTATAAAAATGGTCCAAGTACCTATTATGATATATATTAGATCCAATATTATATATATTTTATATTTTTGTAAAATAATTTTTAATGTCTATTATTCTTATTACAGTAATTTAAAAACATTTCGTTTTGAATTGGGTTTATCAAAATAATGTTCTACACAATTATCCTTTAATTAATTTACAATTACAAAATAAAAAAAGAAGTACCTCATAAAAAAATATAAGTTTCTATTATACTAAGATACGCTTCTTATAAGGATATCTCGAAAATTTAAAATATTAAAGTAATATAATTACCTTGAAGCTTATAATGCATTTAAAAATAAAAATTCTATTATAAAAATTTGAATACATTTATTGCTAAGTGAAAAAATGGAGATGAATATCATGCTTGATGAATCATACTGTTTATTCAGTGTATAATCAGTGTTACGTTTCTACAGGTACCTATTAACTAGTTAAGACAATCGATATTTTTACGTCCACTTAATATATAATATAAACAATATATTATACGATAACAATACGAAATGTCTCATGGAATACGTTTATTTTTATTTCCGTTTATTTCATTCCTGTGATCGTGACGTGGAGTGTAGAACGGAGAAATTCCGTAAAAATTATTGATACTATAATTCGATGATGTACTATGCTGCAACACTCCAGTACTCGTATCACATAAAACATAATAAATACCATATGTATATATACACATATATATATAAGAATGTAGATTTGGTATTTCAAAGTTTAGATTCACTTGTCAAATGTTAAAGGGTATTGATTTCGTGTTGTGTATCTAGTCGTCTACGTCTACGACTTGAGTGGTTTTTTGTTTGTTGGCTTGGTAAAAACAACTACACAGACGGTTCCGTTGTCATCTTAATAATTAATATTTGATTTAGTTGAAAACGTCTGCAGTGTGTAAATGGGTCGGAAGTCATTTAAAAAAATATATAAAGTGCACCCACCAGACGTAAAGTTGGCACAGTATATAACACTGTGACTATCGAATGAAACACACGGGTCGCAGGCGTCTGCGTGAGTATTCCGAAAACAGTGACGGAGCAAAGGGCCATAGTTTTAATAATACAACAATAACCGCCTTCCCTCTCCTCCCATAGTACTCGGAGAGAAAATAGTTACGCCTATAATAATTAATAAGTAAAAATTAACCGAGTAGTGTCTTTTCAGTAGGAAATCTGACGTTAAGATTAAACGCCAACTGAGCGGTTAACCAGTCGTTTTTGTGTATAGGTACCGTGTGAGATTGTTATCGTCGATATGTCATATTACTATGGCGCTACACAGGTACATTATTTTGGATGTCGCTTATTTGAGCGTTGGTTACTTTTTTACCCCAATAGTACCTAAAAGTACCCTAATATGAGCTCACTTTTCGAGTCATTTGAGCATGGACAATTATTTTACCTATACCATTGGTCAGATTCTTCAGTCGATTTGAGCGTGCATTTTCACTGATTATTATTGAAAGACCTTAAAGGTAAAATATTAGTCAATGTTTAAGAAAAAATATGTTGTAAATTAAACTTTAATCTGTTTCAAATTAACGAATTAGGTGACACAAAACAAAATACCTGTTACATAAATACATTTTTCATACAATTTTATTTTGATGTCAAACTCTAAAAGTTTATGTATTGCATCATATAATTAGTGTGGAAAAACAATACTTTTCTTCATTTTTGATAAGAATATTATTAAGTATTATGCCTAAACATTTTGTATATTAGAAATGCCTTGTAATTCGTTTGTAATAACTCTTTGAAATATTTTATTTGGCTGTTTGGTGAATATTGTTCTGATTTGTCCGTATTTTTTCGTCCTTTTTTAATTTTTCTCTGTTGTATAATAATTAATATTATGTTCAGTATTTTTTTTATGTTGGTGTCGATTATAACTTTAAGATGCAATAGTTTTTGTTATAATTTTTCCTTAAAATTTTAGTCCACCTATTCACTAAACATAGATACGTTTTTTGTTCTGTTTTATTCAAATACGCTCTCTAACTTTCGACTCCTGTAAAATATTGTATAATATAAATAAATAATGCACGTTAGAATCCATCCCGTGCTCGGGTGGGATAGACGTAAAACCGGAAAACTTATCGTTAGATGTCTTATTAAAGTTTTCGTTTTCCAGATTGTTGTTATTGCCAGGTGTAAAATTCAATTAAATAAATTGATACCTGCGCGCTACGATGATTTACCTATCCTCATAGAACGAATAATAACACCTTAAGTCATATTTCATTTGTTAAACTTATGATTGTCAATTTTTATTTTTAAAATTTCACCGAATAATTGCGAACGGTGTTATGTTATGATGTATGGAAGCTCAGTCTCATTAGTTATAAAATATAAATAAATGCAAAAAATATCGATTTATTAATTTGGGTAGTATTTTAATATTATAAGTACGATAATCTATAATGTTAGTACACGTGAGTATTTACTAAGAGTATAAATTTTATCGAATCTAGTTATAGTTGAAGTCAAAGAATTAGAATTATTAATGCTAATCGGATATTTCCTATTTTATTATCTACTTAAGTACCTGTTACGTTTTAACTTATCTGTTTAGTAGTGTGATATAAGTTAGAATTTGATACTAAAAATGTTTGTTTGAAATGTTATGTACCATGTAATATGCACGTAATGATATGCACGTATGGCTAGAATTTCAACACTATTAATAAGAAAATCGGTTATGGTGGATCAATTGAATTTAAATTTTGCCCACGATGATCGATGTAACGAAAGACATTTTTATTTTTATCTTTTAATTTAATTACTCTTGATCATAGTAGTGAATTGCCTATGACTACTGATTAGTCATTTATTTATTTTTGACCAGCTTGTGATTTTATTTTGTTTCTATTATATTTTTCATGTATGTTTCCGTTTGACATCTCTTTAATTTTCTTAAAATGTATATTATGATGTGTTTATTCAAATATTAACCAAGTTTTCTTTGTTGCATAATATAAATTAAATTTTAAAATTTAAATTGCAGCGAATAATGTGTATAGCACAAATGGAATGGTATTCAGGAAACATTTCGATATCACAGTAAAAAGTATAAATAATTCGAGCCATATGAAAAAAATATGATTAGATAATGTTATGGAACGAAAAAATAAATGTTAAGTACTATAATAATCTGGAAATAATAACAACCAAAAAAAATTAATTTATCTATTTACAAACGGTATATTTGTAAAAATGGTTTGAATATTACTATTTTAACATTTACAGGTAAAATTCTATGTTAAAAAAATAAAAATGTTTAAAAAAAAAAAATTAATTTAACAATTAAATTTAAAATAATTTCACAAAAATATATATATAAAAAAAAATACTAATTTGTTAAAGTTGTGCTTTGTTTTTAATTATTGACCGTTGAAAAAATCTATTTGCATAACTATGAAATAATATTTAAGTCCCTATCAGACCAATGACCAGGGCTGCCGCTCTTAATGTTTAATAAAAAAAATAATCTATCTAAGTATAAAAAGAAAAACCATTAAAATA